TAAAAACCAAACCACAATCCAGTTCTGTTTGTTCTTTGTTTAACTCTATGTAGAAATGTGTTATTGAATTATGTTGATTGTTCTTGATTACTAGATACACTTTGCCTTAAGTGAAATCAGCCCAGATTCTCTTAGTGTGAGCCAGAGAACATTTTCAGAACAGGGACTGTCATTAGCTTTGGAATTGTTCAGTCTTTGCAAAGCACAGCTGCTGACTCTGTAAAATTGGTTTATAGTGGGAGGGAGAGGTGGGAGTTCTTTTCATTCAGGGAGGAATCCCTGTTCATCTCTTGGACTCCTCATCAGTCTGACCACATGCTTTGTCTTCTGCAAATATTTTTGTCACATCAGGTTATAGGGTAGGAATAGGGCAACATAATGCTTTAAACTTCAGGTGAATCCCAAGATGAGAGAGATGTGAGGAAATTACATGAAGCCATCCTTTGGTAACTTTGGTTGGAGTTTTAACTGTTCATGTTAGGTCATTAGCATAGCTTTAGCTCTTTTGGAGTAACTTTTTTTTCCCATAGAAGTAGAGGAGATGATGTGGATATCAAGGTATCTGTAACAGTTGTATATAGACATCCAAAATTGGAAAGGATGTTTTACCCCAAATAGTTACAGTATCACATATCATCTTAAAAATCTAAAGGAGTACAGATTATTGCTGTAGGTTTTGGGGTTGTGGGGGTTTTTAACTCTTCTTTCTGTCAGTAGACTAATCCCATTCCCTTTTACATATTTTTAGGGATCCAGAGCTTCTGTAAGGACTTACTAGAAGTTGCAGACATATTGGAGAAAGCAACAGAAAGTGTTCCAAAGGAAGAAATTAAGGATGATAATCCTCACTTGAAGAGCTTATATGAAGGTCTTGTTATGACAGAAGTACAGATTCAGAAAGTGTTTAAAAAACATGGCCTGCTCAGACTGGATCCTGTCGGAGCCAAGTTCGATCCCTATGAACACGAAGCGTTGTTCCATACTCCCATGGAAGGGAAGGAGCCTGGCACTATTGCATTAGTATCCAAGATTGGCTATAAGCTGCACGGGCGTACTCTGCGGCCTGCCTTGGTGGGTGTTGTGAAAGACCCTTAGCTGCTCAATCTGAGAATTTAAAATGCCATACAACTATTAAACAGCTGGATGGTTTTTGTCTCACATCATGCTTTCCTTGTTCCTCTGCTCCCAGAGAGGTTTAAATGAGTTGGTTGAGGTCTCCCAGTGAAAATGAAACAACTGATGGAATTCTCCTGCTTAGTGGCCTTCAACATCACTGTTCCATAAGCTCTTCTTTGGTGTAAAAGAGCCATTAAGCCCTCTAATGCTTTAGATTAGCTTTTTACAACCATTGCTCCTGAAGGTGCATTAAATTGAAAAGAATGAAACACTCATGAGAATTTTGCAGTCTCACGTTTATCACTGTGTGTAGATTGAAAATCCAGATAGTGGTTCAGACATTTCCTTTGGTTTTGTACAATCTCTCATTGCAGAAGTGGGTGAAGTAGTACCAATAACCTGCTTTCTGCAAGCACCCATCAGCTACACACTGATGTGATAAATGCCATGTTTTCCCTATTCAGAAATAATCTCTCTCAACAACTGAAATTGAAACCTTTGTGAATTCTGACCTGTAAATAAATGACAATGGAGATTAGTTACCTTTTGTAATTGTTCAACCCTTTTGTCCTCTACTAACATTGACTCAAGAAAACCATCTAATACTTGTATGGCATTGAAGAACCAATAGAATTTATCCTATCTCTGGATTTTTAATTTAATATTGTATAAATTGGTTTAAACAATTTTGATAGTCTTGTAACTTCTAGCTTTGCAATCAGTTTGTTATGCAAACTGTAGTTACAACCCTGCTGAGAGCCAGAACACTCAAAGGAGCTGAGATGAGTATATGATTTCTTTCACACATAAATTGCATGTGAGTGGCTCAAACAAAAATGTGAACTCAGTTTCATTTTCGTTATTTCCTGCATTTACTCAGCTTGGATCTTAGGTTGCACCAGAACTTTTCCCATGTGCAGTTCTTGCCACGTCTAACTCCACCTGCTGCTCCCAGTCCTGCAGAATCAGGCTAAAATACAATACGTGATTAACTGAATGTTTTGTTCTACATCTGTCTGGTCACCTGGATAGGAGTGGGTAGAACTCGGCAAATTACACAACTGACAAAGCAGAGCCCATATGTTTCACACACAAGACAGACACTTCAAACTTAGGGAAGTTATTAGGACCTGGTAAACAGTAAGTACTTCTGAATTTTTTACCATGTTTCTGGTTATCTTGGATTAAGGAGCTTCTTACCTTAAGGTCAAGTATTGATTACTTTTCTTTGGTTCAGATGCAGAGCTGCCAACAGCTTTTTGAACTCTAGACCTGCTCACAGTGAGAAGTGATTACTTGTTCCTTAAGACTTTTTCTGCAGTATTGGTTTGCTTCATGGGAATCAGACAATTAACTAGGAACAACCCAAGTACATACAACTGTTTGAAAGGTTGTCGTGTTTAAGGATTCATTCTTTCTTTCTCAGCTCTAAGAAAGAAAATCCATGCTTTGACTGGGCAGAGGAGGGAGAGTAATTTTTTGGGATGTGTGCAGACAACTACAATGTTAATTTCTTAGAACTAATCAAGTACAGGGATAAAAATGCAAAAATTGAATGTAAAAATTCAGGGAAAAAAGGGGATTCCAGATACTTAAGTTGAATTTGGAAGTAACTTCCCTCCTTCTGGGTTTTAAGAGTGCACTGTAGCTTTGTGAAGTAGGATTGTGTACTTTGATCAGGACCCATTCTAAACTGATGCCATAAAGGGACCAGGATCAATTTTATATACCTTTTAAGAACTGTCATGTGTTGTTTTGTCCCCTCCCAACCCCTCTGGATCTAAACTAAATGGAATAATAACTTCCTTAGTATAGAACTTTTTCAATAGGGCATTAAAAAAAAGGGACAGCTTCTTTCCTAGTGAAGATTTTTTTTTTAATGAGCTTCCCAGTGCGTCAACAAACTCATTTTTGGACTACATTACTTCATTCAGGGTGTTCTTAAGCACAAATTCCTGTTAAATGTTCAGCCCAAGATTCATGAAGCTGATAACTGAGTACCTCATTTAAGTGATAGCTTCCCTGGCCTGCCCTCAGAGAGGCTTCAGCACAGAGCGTGTCAGTCTGTACAGAGAGCTCCAACCACCTGTGCACTCTGCCATACCACAGGAAGGAGTACTGAAGAAGTCAAAGAACAGAGGAAGTGTTCAGAAATTTCAGCAACCAACAAAGCTACAACCAGTACTAGCTATTTCATAAATACCACTTTTCCACCCATCACTGTTTAGCTACACTGCATCTCCATTTGTCATTGCAAAGACTTAAGCTATTTTCCTCACTGCAAAAGCTGTGTAACTGTTAAATCAGTCATGGGAAGAAATTTTAATACGAGTTTAATTTAGCAATACACAATGCAAAAATGTAGTAAAATGCTGTGTGCACGCACAACATCAGTTGGGCTTGACATGATTTCAGCACAGGCATTTGTGTCTGGCACAGCTACACCAGCACACAGTTCCAGTGAGTGCAACATTCCCTTTAAGGAAGAAAGAAGCTGATGAGCTGAACATGCTCACTGGGTGCCTTCCTTCACAGTATTTAATGTGTCATCACATGAGCCACTGGGGCACATGCAAAAACATTCTGTGAGAAGAGAGTAAACAGAAAGGCTCCTGAAGAAGTCTGTTTCAGTTACAGAGAAATGGGATGCAGTGGCTGCACAAGAGAATAATGGCAGAGTGCTTAGTTTGTGTGATTTACAAAGCAGTTTGTGGTCAGACTCGTGCAAACCCACTGACGCTTGTTAAGCTTGCTGGGCCTGCCATGGAACATGGGGCAGGAGTGGCTGCAGCCAGAACGGTGCAGCAAGGCAAGCACTGTGCTGGGCAGTGCACCCAGGATGGAGTCAGGGCTCCTCCAACACATCCCTGGGACTGCACAGACTTACTGTGGCCTCTGACTGGAGCAGAAGGTCGGTATTTTGAACAGCTTAGAGAGTGTTGCTTTTTCACAGGTTTACATCAATGCTGTTAAGACAGATACTATTCGTTAGTAATAACTTTAATTAGAAAAGTCAAGAGCATTAAGCATATAAAACACCTTGTCATTAGCAACATGAAGGCTGGGTTATTTGTACAGTACAGGAAGCACTTCCAGATCAACACAAGATAGAAGAGCTCTGACATATTTTTCCTCAGCCCCTTCACCATAGAAGAGAAGCAGCATAGCTCTAGTAAATTGCTGGATTAACATTAACTGCATCTCAACTTAAAAACAATCAAACAGAAAACCAGCAGCTCATAACAAAGGAATGCTTAGACTAAATCAGTTCCATGTGAAATATGGAACAGCAGCATCCTCTAGTGCAAGTCACCTTTAAAACTAAAAGCATAGCTGACAATGAGACACTGCTTCTATGGAAGCCCTTTCCAAGGGACTAGTATTTGCTAAAGCAAACATTTACCACCTTAAATTTGCTTGCAAGTACAAAATAAATATTGATATCCATATTTCATACATTAAAAATACTTTATTTTACATTCATTTTGATGTTCAATAAGTTACGTCTAGCACCAAAGAAACATTTTGGAGGGGTTGAGGAATTAAGCTACCAAGTGTAAATGCAGAATTCACTTCAACATTTAAATGACTCATTGGTGCCTAGATTTTTTTCCTAAGTTATTGTTCAGGTGGGCTTGACGCTATTGCTTCAGTTAGACTTAGATGTGCCAAAACAGTGCAGAAATATGAAAATCACAGATCTGAAGAAAAAAAAATCCCAGAAGAACCAACAACAAAACAATTCTTCTAAATTCCCAGCTACATGCAGAGTTGAGGCTTCAAAACACCATGTTATGGCAGTTGGGTAACAAGTTGAGGAAGAACCAAATTGCATAACTAGAATAATGGAAAGAAAGACTGAGCTTCCTTCCCACAGGAGTAGGACAGAGAAAATAACCAGGGGTTTACACCTCATGAACTTGTGTGCTGCTTGTATGTGCATTTAGGGTGGAAGTGGTTCCTAAAGCTGCTCAGCACGCTGTAGTTAGCTCCACTGCTGCCAAGGAGAGACAGTTTGGTCTCAAGGAGGCCACAACAAACCACTTACGGAGAAGCCAAACGAAGTATTACGTCCAAGAGGACATAGCCCTTAACTTTTTTTGAAGGGACATAATATTATAAGCTCAAAAGAAAAGGCACTAGAGTTTTGGTTTTTTTCTTCCTTAGAAATGCTGGCTTTGTAATTGTACCCCTTTTATTCTAAACTCACTGGTAACACTATTTTGGTAATGCTGGATGTATTAACTGAAATCCAGTTCTGATCAGAATACCTCTGCCAAACTGCAGAATTAATACTGTTTCAAGATTTTGTGATATCCTCACTGACTACAGCCCAAAGCATCAAAGCAAGATGACCTTTCCAGTGCTTGCACTCATTTTGAAGCCAGTCAGATTCCAAGTTTTGGCACACCTACACTCCAGAAGATCAGCCCAGCTGGTCTCCAGTCACAGCTTCCAGCTCCAGACACGACCAGCAGAGAGGCTCAGGCACAAGTAACACTGTGCCATCTTCCACATGTGGCAACCACCAGTTTTTATTCATTTGGTTAAATACCAGCACAGGAATTTAAGGATGAAATGAGCACAAAAATCCTTTCATAGTCCTCCTTCAACATCTTTCCCTTAATCAGTAGATCTTACTAGAACAGTACTGTGGATCTGGCATTTCTGTCACCTGCTGTGTTACACCCCAGCTGGTGCCCAGCTCCAGCACGGCTCCAGGCTGTAGCTGTCAGAGCTGGGATGAGTTCCCTCTCAAGGTGCACTGTCCTGCCTGTCAGTAATTTCAGTTTCAACGTGTGTAGGCCAGTACTTTTCAAGGTACATTCAACTAGAACCCTGTAATAGCTGGATTGACCACTCCATACTTTAAGAACACAGCTGTGCATTTTGACATGATCTGCATCACTTCTTTCTTTTGTTTTTAAAGACCAACCTCAGTGATCATGCCCCATTTGAGAATCTCTCTCCCTTTCTCTGACCTTCCCAGCTAAAGTCAGGAGGCAACTACACCTCCTCAGCCCTTATCAGCTCAGCAGTTACAGATCCCAAAGGAGGAGCAGGCTCCCCCAACAAGAGAAAACAGTGCTTTTGCTGCCTGAGGCTCCCAACTGCTGCAGGACAACTGGCTGCTTATTGTCCTCAGCCCCATTTCTGGCCCAAATCAGGGACCCCCACCATAGCACTGACTCCTCCTCTGGAACACAGCCCCACAGCTCCTGGGTATTCCTGAAACTACAGTATCAATCAGGTCACATCAAAGCTTCAGAGGGGTCTATTTCAGGAAAAACTCAAGCCAAAACGATGCCCAGATTAGCTGGGTGTGAAGGGAGCTCCTCAAGAACCTCCTCCACAAGTCTCTGAAGCCTCTCACCTGCCACATTTCCTTCCACTCCCTGCTGTACTCTCGACAGGAACTCTCACCCTGCTGCCCCTGTGCCTTGGCTGTAGTTGCCAAGGAGAATGTTCCAAAAGCTTAGCAATGGTCACAAAAGTCCCTTCTCACCCTGCTCCCAAGCCCAGGACTTTTGCAAGCTTCACTTTGCTGCCAGCACTATGCCGAAAAAAACAAAACAAAGGATGAAGAAAGTTCCCAGCAAATGAAACTATCTCCTACCTTCAAAGAAAAGCAAGGATTACACTGATACTCATTTATCCAACAGTATGGACTAAAGCAACTACTCTGGGACTACTGGACTTGAGTAAGTTCACATGAAAAAATCTGTTCTAAGAATGTACCAAAAGCAGTGAAATCCAATGTAGAAGTTTCACAATTGAGTGTTTTCCATGATCCAAAGAAAAGTCTATTTGAACCACCATGGATCATGATGAGTGGGGGGTTTATGTATTTGCTTTTTCTGGTTTTAAGTGACATGTTTCCTGTATCTTTGAGGAGGGAAGAAAAAAATAACGGAGTCCTTGAGGCTGTAATGGGTCTCTGCTGTGTTTTCTCAGATAGCTGAGCTTCATGAAGCATCCCTGGATATCCAACCACTTTCTGTGAGAAAGTTTAAAATCCTTTTCTTCAGTACCTTATCTAAGTAACTGGGAAGGCGACTCTTTGAAGGAATTCCTTGTCTTTTTTGGAGATGGTCTTTAATGATAATAGTTTTTACAGTCAGATAACGTGCAGGACTCAAGTTCAGAGAGCTGCAGAGCACCTTTTCCCTGTCCGATAAGAGTTCAAAGCCAGGCAGGTTTTCAATGGCAGCAAATTCACCTTCTTTACCCTCCTCCTTCCCTCTCTTGGAACTAGCTATGTTTTTGTTCTCCTTCCTCTTTTCCCGTTTGTGCCTGGCTGCCTCGTACTCTGCCGACTCTTCCATTTTGGTGATCCCATTCCGCCGATACCGCTGCAGCTCCCGAATCTTGGCTCGGAGTATCCTCTCCTTGTGCATGTTCTCAAAGAAGTCTTCAAACTCCTTACAAGACATGAACTGGTACAACGGCCTCAGTTTCAGCCTCAACTCCTTCTCTTCCTTTGTGATCTTCCGTTTGGGAGTTTTCTCCTTGTCCTTTTTGTCCTTCCCCAGGAAGGCCGGCACCAAGTTATAGTCCCGCGCGATGTTCTTCCGCCGCTGCCTTTCCTTGAGTTTCCTGACGTACATGTCCACGTGAGCCCTTTTTAGCTCTATCTCCACATCGTCGTCGTCGTAGTTCACCGAGAGGCCGCTGATCAGAGTCTCGGCGTCCTGGTCGTACTCGATCTCGTAGTCGTCCCGGAGCGGCATGTACCCCAACTGCTGCTGCTCCGCCACCGAGATGTCCAGCGGCGGCAGCGGCGTGGTCAGGCTGGGGGACAGCGGGCCGCCACTGGGACACGTGTGGTCCGTCACTCTGTTTGGAATGGTGTCAGGGATGCAGGCTTTCCCCAGGTTGCCGTGGATATACATGCTCACGTAGTGTTCCATCACCTCCTGAGGTGTCCGGGATGCTCCCACGTGAGCAGCCATGTCCTCCTAAATGGAAAGAAAGGAGGAGTGATAAAACGATTCTCATCACATCTCCAGCATAATGAGCACTCAGGTAGGAACACAACTTTCTCCCTGCTCCTCCAAAGACAAGTGCCAGTGCCTAAACTTCTCTAGTGACACTCTGACACCGGCCATGTTTCCATCGGATCCGCGTTTTCAGGTCCAGGTGAGCATTTGCAAGTGCCTGGGGGCAGATAAGCCATAAAAACAGCACCAGGAACACAAGACACTGGATCCACACAGTGACTCCTGAGCATCCACCACACTCTCAGAAAGCAGCTTACCGTCAGCAGGAAGCTTCCCAAGTCCCAAGGAGCACCAACAGCACTACGCAGCTTGGGGTTTGTTCATTTATATCACAGTGCTGAGGTGCTTTTAGAGCAATGTGGAAATAAAGACAGACAATGTTTACAAGTGAGAACGACAGTATTTACTCTTTTCTAGTTATTTAGGAAATAACTAGCTGCAATGATCATACACTTTAAGGTTTTAAAAAAGTCTTTATATTTCATGAAGCAAAACATAATCAAGTAACAATTAATGAATCAAATGAATCAAACAGTCAGTGGAGGACAATGAGGGTGACTGGGGCACTGGAGCATCTCTCTTTGGAGGAAAGTCTGAGGGAGCTGGGCCTGTTAAGCCTCGAGAAGACACGACTGAGAGGGGATCTCATCAATGTCTACAAATATCTGAAGGGACGGTGTGAAGAGGATGGTCCAGGCTCTGCTCAGGAGGCAACGGACAGAAACTGATGCCCAGGAAGTTCCACCTGAGCACGAGGAAGAACTTCCTTACTGTGCAGTGACTGGAACAGATTGCCCAGAGAGGGTGTGAAGTCTCCCTCGCTGGAGATATTCAAGAACTGTCTGGATGGAATCCTGTGCTATGTCCTCTGGGACGAGGTTGGACCAGATGGCCCTCTGTGGTCCCTTCCAGGCTCACCCATTCTGTTACTCTGAAATGATGCTGCTTCCTCACTGCTGGTGTTTGCAGCCCGGGCTGAGCGCAGGTGACAGAGCAGGTGCGCAGCCCGTCCGCAGCCGGACACCCTGACGGCACAAGCCGAGCAGCGACCAGAGGCTCCAAGGTCTGTGACACGGGCGGGCCGGGGGAGGCAAACGGACCTTGGGGCAGCGGCAGGTCCGAGCCAGGTGCGCCTCGGGGACCGCCCGGAGCCACCGACAGAGGAGCTCCCCGGGGTCCTGTCAGTGCCGCCCGCCCGCCCGCCCGCGGGGGCCCTCGCCCCGCACCCTTCGCCCCTTACCCAGTTCCCGAAGCCGAACTGCTCGATGGCGTCCAGCAGCAGCTGCTCCTCGCGGCTGCTCCAGCCGCCCTCGGCCTCGGCGCCCCAGAGGGTGAAGCGGCCGCCGTCCACCAGCTGGTATCCGTGCCATCGGCGGTGCGGGCCGATCTCGGCGCCCGCCGAGAAGCAGTCGGGGCAGAGCTCGATGTCGGCGCACTCGGTGCAGCGGAAGCGCAGCGGGCTCACCTCGGCCAGGCAGTACACGCAGTACTTCTTCCCCAGCTCCGCCATCTTACCCCGCCCGCGCGCGCGCGCAGCCCCGCCCCCCGCGGCACAACGGCCAATGGCAGCGCACCCGGAAGGAGGTGCCACGCTGAACTTCGGCCAATGGGGACAGAGGGCCCCGGCGCGGGGCGTGTCAGAACGAGTGAGGGGCCGCGATTGGCCGAGCGGGGCCGGTGCGCCTTCCCTGCGTCCAATGGGAGAGGCGACCCCGAGCGAACCCGCCGCGGATTGGTCGCCCGGGGAGAGGGGGCGGCGTTGCCCGGCAACAGGGGAAGCGGCGGGGGCGGGGCCGCTTCGGTTCTCTCGGAGAAAGCGGAGACCTTTAGTCCTGTTTGTGTGCCCGGGGCTGGGATCAAAGGCACAGATTTACAGGTTCAACGGCTACGGAACTCACAGGAGAGAAGCCACATCCCAGGGGTAAAGAAGGATTGGAGTCCTTTCATTTTCCAGCACAGGCTGGAATTGCTGAGCTGTGTTTGAGCTGCTGGTTCCGGCTTCAAAATGAGGTGTGTGTGCATTTAAACAAAGCACACAAATCTCTGACTGCACATATATAGGGATAAAGGGCAGATAAACTGACATAAAGACAGGTGGGAATGGCTCACACCTTCCTCTTTTAAATCGCCTCTGAATTAGGTTTTCTGAATTGCCTGAAAATTTGAGTGACAAAACAAAGTTGTTATTACCCTATTGAACGTTTAAAACTTGTTCTTTTCTCATAGTGAAAGAGAGACTATATCAGTAATTTCATACTCCTCCTGCAGTAGTGCCTGATGTTCTCCCGAGGTCCTGCAGCTCTGCAGAACTATTGCACAAGCACAGAGGAGCAGTGCAGGCTCTTGTTCTGCAGATGACTGAGATACTTTATATCTTTGGCAGCTCAAACACTCAACTCATGAAGGGACATGACGCAACTAATATTCAAAAACTTTTCACAAAGTACCAGTAGATCTGTCCCTGTGGTGGTTGCTGGACAGCAAAAGGAGAGAAGTGTAACTCAAACCACCTCTCTTTGAAAGAAAAAAAAAAAAAACCAACATGAAAATCTGTACCTTTTATCATAAGTCCTGTTAACAAAGTGAGTTCCTCTGCTGACAGAGAGACTGTTGCACAAGTTGAGAAGCCCTCCTGGTGCTCCGTGATGTTTTCATAAATCACTACAGATGATCAGTGACCAGCTCTCCTTTTTTACAGATTCCTGCCAGGAAAATTCTTACACTTCTTGTTGCTTTTGGGTTAAGACACACAAACCTTCCTTTAACTTGGTAAATACTATTAAGCAATAAAGGTAAATAGATAAAGGGAGGGGAAGCAGGGGAAATGAATCTCAGGTGCTGCATGTTTGACATTTAGAGAAGGCAAGAAGGGTGCAGGCAAGGTTGATGGTGTAATTCTCTGAACTGAGTGTTTCTACTGAAACAAATACTCCCAAGACATTGTTTAACTTCACACACTGCCTCCAGGACTTTTTTTCTCAGCCCTGAGCTGCAATAACCCTCTGCTACCCTAGCCTTCCAAAGCACCCTGAGGATGAAGATCAAAGATTCCTTCATTTTCCTCCTGTAAATACAGGAAGACATTCCATTAGGATGCACTAGAGACATGTCTTTTTAGTTCCTAATCTCATGTGCTGGCATGGAGGAAAATAATTCCCTTCAAACAGACTGGAATTCCTATTGGAAAAACAGGTAAGGAAAAGTAAATCTTGTTTTGAACAGATTTGTGCAACTCCTGTAAAAGATACAATGTAAACCTCTATTGGTATTGGCTTATGGAGAGCAATTCTGATTTTACATCCCAATTCAGCAAATCAAACAGGAAGATACTTCAGCAAAAGGAAGTGGGACATGTGCTTACTGGAGAAACTAGAACCATGGCAGCTAAGGCCTCCTTGTTGCCTTTTCTCCACTCTTTAATCCATCTTTTATTTGATGCTTCAGCCTCTTTTCAGTTAAGCAACAGGAAGCCTCTCCACTTCAGGCTCTGAAGTTATGCCTATGTAAGAAGTAAAACAATACCACCTTAGGCACAGAAACGCTTTGTGATTATAAAACCTGCAATAAACCAAGATTTCTTCTTTTCAAAAAAAACCCAGGATAATGTATTTAGGCATTTCTGAGTTTTGCACATCACAGAAATATAATTAAAGCTATTTTTCATAATATATTTATCAACTCTCAGACCTAGTCCAGAGAAAGGTGTATGAAATGGGATTAAAGCATGGGCACTATAAAGTGTTAAATCTTCTAACTGTCTCATATAATTTAACAGGTATTTTAACTTGGAAAGCATCAGCAAAAAGTCCTCCACCTGCAATACATAAATGGTCTGAAGTCCTCTTTTTGGACAGACAAAAACTGCTGGAGAAGCTTGTGAAGAAACAGAGAGGTACTGGGATTTTGGGTTCTGAATTACACTGACTACAGGTGACTAAGATAACTTTACATGACTTTATTTAACAAAACCATATATTTACAGTTGAAAAAAGTTTCAGTTTGATACACATGTCTAAACAAAACAAACGTGGTAACTACAGAAACCCAATTTAAACATGATGTACAGGGGATGTACCAATAGTTCTCTATATGTCATTCTGCTTTTTAAAACATTCAAAAATAACCTGCTACAAGGTACCATTTTTTCTGATTGAAATTGTTTACTAAGTGAAATAATGTTAATGATTGACTGCAGATCAAAGTTGCAAAACTGCTTTATTATAAAGTGCAGATTGTACGGAATCTCCAAGCCGGTTGAAGTTTTCTGGTTTCTCTGATCTGCTGCATGTACAGTGGTACTTCTGTGCATTGCAGCAGTTTTATTTTTCCTTAAACCCATGAAGAAAAGAAAGTCTTCTTGATGGGGACATTTGCTCAATGAAAAAAAATCTCATGCATCTTGTTACAGATACTCTCAAGCACCTGAACAATAAAATTGTCAAATTCTTTAATCCAATTCCCTGAATTCCTTAAGGAAGGAAGGTTTCTGTAATAGCTAATTAAGAGATTTGGTATGCTGCAAGACACTTAAAAAGCTCACTGGCAAGTAATTCTATGCCCTTACTACTCATCTCTGGTTTTTATCAAAATTCAAGCATTACCTTCAAATCAAGTTACTGAGAAGTTGAAACAATTGCATGTTTAGGCAGGTGATTATTTTTTTCACATGTATTTTGTCTGAAAACAAACTGTGCAAAGCTCCTTATTGCATTGCTGTTTCTTCATTAAAGAACATACCTTATATACACAAAGAAATCATTTAGAAAATATATACAACTTCTAAGAACAGAAAGATCAAATCACAAAAGCAAAATAATTACATTTGCAAGTAACAAACAGTGCACAAGTGTTGCAGCAGGCCTTTTTCCCCACAGCTGTGCCCACTGTCACTGTTACATTCAACATCTTATTGAGAAGAGAAAAAGAACAGGCTGTCGATGGCTGCCAACATACCTAAGTAGCTAAAAAATGCATTTTTAACCAGACAAATGAGCCACACTTGTAGACTTGTTTCAAAAGGAAATACAAATGTGGTTGCAATGAAAACTTAAATTGCAAAGCCAGTTACAGTACTACCTAAAAATGTATACTGAGGAAGAAGTTCTCTCCATGTTTAATAAACCGTTTAAAAGCATAGTGCAAACGTTTTGGATGGTAGGCCTCTCGTATCCTTCATGGAAAGGCATATTTATTGTAGCGATAGAAAAAGTAATATTAAAAAACACTTACTGACCTTCCTGCTTTCTACTGCACTTCAAAGCAACATAGCATACAAGTACCAGTCACTGGAGGACCTAAGCTGTACAAATTCTGGGAGAATTAACACATTTCCTATCAACGTCTTAATGTCTATTTTCAGTAAGTGATGACCTAGAAGAAGTCTTGTGGAGCAATTAAGATGACCAACAAAATATCCACATCCATTACACCAGGTACACGAAGTGAACAGGAAAAGAGGTCAATGAGGTATCAGACTTGCAGGCTGTATTTGCATTACACATCTTTCAAAGTGATTATGAGCCCTCACTTACCAGCAAATCTTGTTCTCACTCTTCTTAACATTACAATCAAATTATCCCTCACAGTAACGCTGTCTGTACCAGAAGACAGTATTTTGATTATGTCCCACAGTACTTTACATTAAATATTGAGTTGAGCAGTGTACAACTATTCTTCTCATTGTTTCATTCAGACCATGCCAAAATAATCAGCATAAACCAGACTGAAGAGCATTGGGAAACTGCTGACCACACAGCTGGAGGATTTAGCAACCCCTGTTTACAGTTAACACAAATATTGCTTTAGTTACGTTTCCCTTTTCAATGATCATGATTATAAAACAGATTTTATACTACAAACTACACGATAAACATTCTTGTAAAGCAGAGGCACTCGTGATTTGCCCTTCAGTGTTCATCTGGAGGCAGAGGGGATCTGAGATGTGTAAGGGGTTTATGTAACTGCGGTTTGCTGCCGCTGTAATTTGCTCTCATGTATTAGAGGCCAGATAAAACACTTGGAATGCCAGCTTGTACTTATCCTGATGGTGTTTGTCTGGTACATTTTCCAATAAACTTCTTTCACTTGTCACTGTATGATTAGCTCCACATAATGCTTTTCCCCTGGAGCAGCAGCAGATCCAGGAGATCCCACAGAACCTTTTCTTTCCAGCAGCAGCATTGTGGAACCTGACTGCTCCCCTTACCCTTCCCTCCTCAGCTTTGCCAGGGAGCAGAGCTGGGTTTAAAGTAACTATCAAAATTGCTTTTAACCATTTCTCAGTTTATCTGCTCAGCCCACAGTTTTATCAGTGTGACTGGAGACACAGAAACACGCCTCTAGTAGTATGTGACCCTGTCTTTAACCAGAGGCAAGAGAGTACAATTGGGAAATGATGCCAGCTTAATACTAGAACCCTCTGGGTGAGTTTAGAATCCAG